GTTGGAAACCTTTCCTCTTGATGGAAACATTCGTTCTTCTTATAATCTCCAGTCTCGCATTGATTACATATAGACCTTAATGCTTAGAGAGAAGATAAAATATATAAATTAAATACTCGTGGCTTCAAAGTTCAAATTTCTTGCGAGGGTAAAATTTCTCCATCCTTATGCTGATGTCTTGAATCTCTTTTTTCTACACTCCCCCTGGCATTATCAATGACGCACAGCCAGCAAAATGGTACCGCAAGTGGGGTGAAAGAATAAGGAAAACCCACTTGAATGCCTCACACTAACACACCAATTGACTATTGTATTGTATATTGTAATGTCTTTTATTTTTTCCGGCGTACTCTCACCCACCTCTCAAGCTCAGGAGATTTATAGAACAATTACCTATCGTTCAACTCATGAAGAGATTTCCTACTTCGGAAAAGTTAGCTACTTTCCGGGATCAGCAGTGCGATTTATTCACCTCCGTAATTAGATATTTATTTATCAATGCGGAAATTCTATAGTTAAAATCGACAAAAGTTTGTTACAAAATTTATATTGATTCTTAATGCGCAAAAAAATTGTGAGGAATAGCACAGAATAAATACACAATGCAACAGAAGTATGCATATCATATTGTCGCATCCTCCGAAACTTTTTTTTGATTACGGAGTAATTATGTGGAACGAATTTCCTGGAGAAACCAAGTGGAGCCTAGTCCAAACTTTGTAAGAAACGTAGAAGCTATATAACAATGAGACAGAGCTTTTCCACCGTTTTGCCCTAGAGAATTATTGTCAACACTCAGACGTCGGTAGACGCAGTCTACACTCACAAAAACATGTTCTTACGAGCACAAAAGTTCTATTTTCTATATTACTTCAAATTTATTTTCCCCTTTGTTCAGTTAAATCTTCTCAATCATGATCACTAATACCTCACCCAGTCGTTACTATGCGCAAATAAACTTCTTATCATTCTGCATCTGCTTGATATTCTTTATCCAGTCTTGTAGTATTGTATAGAAGTAGTGCGCAAAGGTGTCAACTCAGAGGCTGTGAGATCAAAACCTGACAAAGAAAAGGCGTTAGATACATTTTGGAAGCTACTATCTATATTTGCACAAAATATTTTTAATAATTATATTGCGTTATATGTCTCAATAAGAATGAGAATCAAAGACATGACAGATGAGTCGGGCATGAGCAATTCAACCAAGTAATGAGGCTGATGTATGTGAAGCGCCTGAGAGATTAACTCAACAGCGAGTGATCCGAGAAAAAGAGACAGAGTTTGGTTAACCTATCCCAGCAAAAACTGATTAGATTAGAAGAGGGGATACCGTAAGATAACTCTTATGCCACGGCTATCCAGACCAACTGACGGGCCTATTATTATGCATCCATAGAAACCTTTCCCACTTAAGGGCCAAAGACACAAAGCTAACCAGTCATCCATATTCTCTTTAGTTACCTTTCAGACGGTTTCAGTTTTGGCCTTGTTACATTTTATTGATTTTTGTTTTATTTTATATCGTCTCTCTCCCCCGTTATCGTTTGATTTTTCCCACTCAAAGACAAGGCTATTCAAATGAGTCAGTCAAATTCACAGACTTGCAGAGCTTGGCCTTGAGCGTATTTGCAGACGATATCGCCTGTTTACAAGCGACACCAGTCTGGTATTGTGCCCATCTATAAGTAAGGACAGATGCGAAATACACTTCCACAGAAGTTTCTACTTCAATTGGAACATTTAACAGCAACCTAATTTTGGGCTGGAATTTTATATTTGCCATTGAATTAATATTTTTCGCATCTGTTGTGTTCGATCATTTGCAAGTGATGGGGATCGAACACACGACCGTGATGTCCTCAGTCTGGCGCTTTACCGACTGCACCATGGCCGCCTAGCACAAACTGATAGTACTGGGATACATGATCCAAAGGAGATTGAAATAATATCTAATGCAGTTGCTAAATGTGACAGTGTATGTGATGCATAGAGGCTTCGCAGGAAAAGAATAGTTCAGCACCATAGGAAAAGATAGGATGAAGTATTCCCGCTAATAGATTTTTTATTAAAATTACTTCAGATGACGCTAAAAATCTCATGCGACTTCTATTAAAGCCTCTCCCAACTATTTAATTGCGGTTTACTACAATTTTTGTAGAAATTAGGCAATTTTGAAACAAAAATTTGAATTGGTCAGCTTGTGTCCTGCGCACAATTTTTGCACTCTGCACGCTTTTCACGGCCACTTCATCGCGCTAAATTGTCATAAATGTGTTCACTTGTTCACAGAGAAGAATTTCATAGTCATTTTAAACCTCCCGACGCGATTTTTTCCGCGATTCACAAAAAAAGTTGGAAGTGTAACCTCTAAGTTGTCTTCACGTGTGCCCGAGATTTTATAGCAAGCCGTAAAAATTGATTTAAAATTCCTAATCGCAACTTGCAATTTTTGCCTTTGTGATTGAGCAAAGAGAGAGCATATTTCACTTTCAGGCGCATGGCAAGCAGATTTACCCACTTTAGGCAGAATAGGCTACATCCGCCAATAGTCTGTGACGTGAGATTTTTATCACAGCTACTATCGAGAAAAACATCTTTTTTGATTATTATACTAGAAGCGAGAAGAGAAACAAGAAAAAAATACACCAAACGCACGGCGTAAAGATAGTTAGACCAACGTTTAAGATTTGCCATAAAATATCACGTTTTCATAATATTAATACGTATTCTCGATTTTGCTTCATCTGTGAATTTAAAAACACAGAAAGAAGTATAAAATAATGGTAGTTTTGGAAAAATTTCCGACTACATCTGTGAGAGATCCTTTTCCTTTTTTATTACCTTAGGTGCGACCATTTTTCCCCACATTATATTCGCTCTATAGCTAATCCACCCTCAATTGAGGGTGCAAATAATGCAATAAAATCACTTAATCCACTTCATAACAACGGCTAAAACATTCTTTTCTATCCAGGTAAGAGAGTGTAAGAAAAGGTCAAATAATAAATTGTCTGTAATTTTTCTAGGTAACATACGATGTAGATGATGTGCGGGATGGTAAAAAAGGCGGGTTGAAATTTTTCTGGAAAAAATGCGATTCGCAGTATTTGAAAGAGTGAAGAAGATTTATCGAGAACAAAATGGTCAGTTTTTGAGCCCGCATTGCAACAGAACAGTGTTGAAAGTAGTTTTCAATCTCTCTGTCACTGACATATGAACAAATTTGAATGTGTCCTCCGTGGGTGATACAGGGTGGATGGAGACAAAAAGACAAGTCTTTGGCCACCCCCGCATTCTCTCAAGATAATCATCATCTATTTGGTTGTATGCCTTTTTCCCTCTACCCATACTCACTGTCTCAATCCAGGGAAAATGTGTGAAATATGTCAAGAGGAGTGGGAGGGATTTAGACGCAGAGAAATGTGGGTTGTCGTAATCCTCGTATCTCCTCTCAGACTCTTGTACTCAATTCCACCTCCACTCCTGGCGAGCTAACTCTGGCCAGCTCACCAGGGCAGAAATTGAGCTGCGCCACACATTCAATCAAGATAGCATGAGTATTGGTATTTGAGAAACACACATTCGCGATATTCTATTTAGTAACATAAACTTTTCAATTTATATAATGCTATTGATATTTTGAATACTATACTAGGTATACAAATATTCAAATATATATTTTAGTTAATAGTAATTTTTATTCCCATACCTGAACATAAGATTCTTTCATATGTATAAATGTAAACTAAAAATTATCGGGCAGCCTCAAAGAATGGAAAAAATGATTGTACTTAATTCTTCAACATTCCGAATCATCCAAAATATTTTTGTTTCCGGATGTGATATAAAAATAAATGATCCAAAACTGCACGTAAACAAAAAAAGCTATGCTGAAAGATGAAATATATTCAATCCAATTAGTGTAAAAAATAAAAACGCAATGACAAATGATAGTATTATATAATTTTCAATGTTTTTAAATTTCTTCTTATATATAGGTTCAATTTCTTAGGTTTTGATATAAGTGTATGAAAAAAAAATCACATTCTTATTTTAAGTCGGTAAGGTACCAGATGTACCAGAAGTAGTAGTAGTAGTAGTAGTTGTTGTTGTAGTTGTAGTAGTAGTAGTAGTAGTAGTAGTAGTAGTAGTAGTAGTAGTAGTGACTGTTTGTGAACATTTTAGACTTATTACCACACTATTGAAGGGATTAGTTTTCAACCAGATGAGTTTGAAAAAATGAAATTGGAATATATATTTTACAGTAAAATTTTTACAGTACGCTCCTGATGAGAGATGGTAAGTGATGATTGGGCGAATGAGTGCTTGTATAGAAATGATGCTGATGTAGGCTCAACATGTCCTCGGGTTTGTGGTGGGTAGCTACTTTTGTGAATGGTTTGGGGCAAACGATGCCCCTGAGCTGACGAAGTTGGTCTCACCAACAAGAAATAGTCAATTCCTTTGTATTTATTGCCTTGTTTTCGTATCAGCTCCATTACAAATTGATGATGTCACGTCGTAAGGAAGATAGATTCAGAAGCACTCCGACAATCGAAATGTGTCTGCGGCCTTTCAGGGTAGTGGCTTTTTGTAAAATACTTCAAAGCCAATTAATCGTCTATTCCCTTCTCTCCCTGGTCGACAAATGATAAAATTAATGATCAACTACAGTCTTACTTTGTTCTAAACACGCGTTCATATCCCCATAAAGTCAGACGGTTTTCAAATGTTACCATAGAGGGTGTGTTGTGGGCTGCAATTAAATCTTGCTGAAATGGATTAATAAAACAATTATTTTGTATGGTGTTTTTGTCTCAACAATTCTTCTCACCCGAAAACAAACCCCAAGCCATTATCAGGCAAAGCGCCTGGCTAAATGCTAATTCCTAACCCTTCCCTTAAATTGAGATACATTTGAGTAGAGGAAAAATCACACACAGGCACTACTGAAGGGTTTTAATCCCATACACAAAATTTCTCCTTTCCTATTGCAGAGCCATATCGGTGATAATCTGTGCAATTCAGACCAAGAGAATTGGATCCGGAATAGCTACGAATACTTCACTAGAGATATTCATAACTACCTTCATAATCGGCGAGTCAAAGTAGTGAATGTTGTGAGGCGTAATACCAGTTTAGCGGAGAATTTTGCACAACTCGTAAAGGTGAGTGAAATAAAAAAAATAAAAAAAATAAAAAAAATAAATGTTTAGAACTCTTTAAACATATGTTTTCATCTATATTTCTCACCATATTCTTTCTTTCTTTTTTAACTAAAAACCTGATATTTTTGTTTAAGGGTATATAAACAGAACTTAGATCAATAGTTACTTTTCTTGCAGCCTTCTTTTTAATATCATTAATTTCCAAACAAAGTAAGAAATGTCAGACTTCAAAATATAAAAGTTAACTATTGCACTTAAATAGTGAAATCACCTCTTTGATATTCTTGCTGAAACATATAATTTTAGATTTTAGGCCTTGTTACAACATTAATTAATAAATGTTTGAAGATTACGATAAGTATATTGTACGAATGTACTGAATTTATCTTCTGTGAAGCGTGAAACATTTCAAACGTTGCTGCCTGACGTCGATTCATATTTTTGTCGCCTGAAGGCAAGAAAAGCCGACAAATTTTCGTGAAAATCAAGTAAATAGACAATAATTTTGTTTTCATGTAAATAAACACATATTTGTTGGATTTTTCTGGCCATTTGTGCAGATTTAATGCATCAGATTAAGGTTATGTGTGTCCGCACATCCTCCGGCCTTTTCAAGTAAACAAATTGATTTCTCAACGCATTTTCAAGTACATGAAAAGCTAAGTTTTCATCCAATTCATTGTTCACGCGTACATGTCGTGACACGCACGAAAATGCGGCTGTACTAAAATGTCAAAACAAAGACATCTTCCCGGACAATCTGACCAGCAGACTCCTTCGAGAATCCCATCGGAAATACGCCCTATGTTAGGAACTGTCACGGATGAAGATGTCTTGTCACTAGAATTCACAATTTCGCCCTGTTGAACACATTCTTCGCGCTGAAAACATCCCTTGGTAATCGCCGAAAAGTCCTAGAAGTTCCTTGAGATTAGTTTCGGAGAAACACGGAAAATTGCGTTTCACTTCCACTAAAGAACATTCCCTAACTTCCACGTGGCGGAAAATCGCCAAAAACTGAGCAGAAATCGGAATATTTTGCCCTAAAAACACCATCAAAGAGAAAATCTAGCACTTTACGGCTGCTCAAAGGTAGCCGCAATGAAATGATTTTCTGACAGCTGAAATTCGTATAAAATAAAGCCCCCACTGCATCTTGCAACGCCTTCTTGTTCGTATTTCATTCGTACTTTACACAAGTAGCCGTCGGGTGGCCGCCAATATAATATATCAAAACGTAAAATTATGACACCAGATTAGTATTTTATACGGACTGAAATACGAAATCTGTGAAGTTGCAATGAAACAATATTCTGTAAATACCGTAGACATTTTTTAAACAACTTTTTAAGATTCTTTTCTGTGAGAATTGGTAAAAATAAACTAGAGATCGTATATATTTTTGGCTGTTCAAATGGTAATCTAATTACGAGCGAGAGAGAGAGACAAAATGAAAAAGAAGGGTACAACCCAAGGTACAATCTCTATATAAAAATCCACTTGAATTATTTGTTCCACTGTTTAGATTCGATCGTATGAGACTTGAAAATTTTAAAACGTCATAGCTGAATACAGAGATCATTTCAATAAACCTTGAGTTTAGGTTTTAAGTCACTCTGCAATAATGTAATCATATCTTGAGAGTTGTTGCAATAAACTCCTTTATGTAAAGTACCGAAAATGTTTCAAAATTTGTATAGTGAAATACGCGAAACTGTAAAATATTTCATAAAAATAATCAATTTTTTTCGCGCCGTTTTGCAAAGTCGTTAATCGATTCAGTATTCCCAATAATTTTTTTTTTACCGAAACTATACTAAATACCTCAAACCTCTCAAACTGAGCTGGCAAACTGATAATCTGCTGCCACTAAATGAATTCTATCTTGATCGTTTATTCGAATGGAGAGATAAGTTTATGTTAGAGTCCTGCGCGGAGGTCATGCACCGCCGTGGAAGGTTATGTTGGCGCGTCTTCGCGCGCGACAAACTTTTACGTACGGTCACGGTACTTACATCGTAAACCATTAGCGCTGGAGACGACGAGGTCGAAGGTCGAGGCGCCGTGTCACCCCATCATGATTGGCTTTGCGGTCTTTGCTCTTGGGATAAATGCCAAATTGTTCTCGAGAATAGAAAAAGATGTGACAAGCAAACGCCTGTTAATTTAAGGTAGACGCAAACAACTCGAAACGACACCGATCTAGATTTTCACATAAAAAATTAGTTCTTTATATTCTTAACCCGGGTAGGAATGAAAGACCTAATTTTATAAAGAGTTGTGAAAAAATTTCCATTGTCGAGCCCACTTTGGCATAAAGGCGATTTGCAATATAATTTCCAAGATTACATCGATTCCCTAAAACGTCATCGGGACGGGAAAACGGAGCGGTGAGGCTTATGAACCGAAGACATTGTTAATGGGGAGGCACGGCGTCTCGGTCTATGGCCTCGCCACCTCCAGCGTTTACGGTTTACCACCTAAGAATCGAAAGTTTTAATAACAAGAAGGCACTACGCAGAAAAATCGCGCGACTCTATTTCAGCCTTAGCGCCGCCCTTGCGAATTATATATCCATACAGAGCTCTAGTCGATGTCCCTCAATGAGACGTTAAAGCCTCATAAACAAATAAGTAATTTATTTACTTTAATTTCATTTTTAATTTATTCGAGCAAAATTTAGGGCCTAACCCTCTTACAATTATCTAATTAGAAAAAAAAATAAAAAGAAACTAAGAGTCGGCAAACAAAGAGTCAGAACAACATACTTTAGTATGGACAATAGCAGTAAAATTAAATTGAAATAAAATGAGACACATCGTCTGTAAGAACAAATGTATCATACATTGTCCGTAATAAGAATATATCCATTTTGTAAGGATGTTTGTTTTTTTGTTTAAAATTGCTTGTATAAGCTTAGATTGTGTCTAGCGACGTTTTAGTGTCGATGACCGGCTGGTCATCGTCCAACCCAAGTTTCCAGAGCAAGATCGAACAGGCCTTTCTCATGTTGTATAGCTATGTTTACCCAACGCTTACAAAAAAAGAAGAACAAGAAAGTAGTTAATGCGCCAGAGAGGTTTGGATTAGCCGCTGCTTGATTTCTCTAAGAAATTTCTTCCTCCTTGCAAGCCTTCACATGCAGGGGAAGAGAGAAACTGAAGACCGAAAGAGACAGGGATTTCAAAGGGTTGAAATACTCGAAGCTTGTGAAATCTCAAATGACCCCCATTGAGGGTCCTCTTGAAGCTCATATAATCAAGACGATTCGATAGACCGAATAGAATTTCACTCGAACGTTTCATTTTATTTTTTAAGGAAATGCATTAGTTGTGTCAACGTTATCAAGACGAAGAATGTTACCAATCAAAAAATCTAAATTTTCAGCTATGAATCAGGGACATGTGAAACCTCAAGCAATTGCTAAAGATAAAAATCAACTGATTTCGTTCATCTCTTCACCAAAAGACGTGGATGAACGTCTCCAAAAAAAAGTTATAACTTTTCACCGATGTAATAGAACATGATATGATATGATATTGGACTCGTTGGAAAACTTTAGAACTATTTAAAACAACAGAAGTTTATCAAATCACCGCATGAGGCACTATTGCAAGTAACACAATTAATGAAATTCTGAACTGTCAAATTTTATTCTAACATCACACTAATATGAGATATTTACTTCAGAATTTCGATAGTCCAAATCGAGACGTTTCCAAAATGGGGTTAACTTTTTGTGTCAAAGCCGTAGAACCAGAGTTTGAAGTTTTTCATTTTCAGGAGTAGGATTTTGTATTTCATATGAAAATTTCCATGCTTTCTTTTCTTCTAACTAAATCGAATTGATCACGGAAGAGAGAAATTGTAAATCTCAGCTATATACCACAAGCATACGCGAAGCATGTGCTCATATACTTTTTTTTATATTATCGTGCTACTGTTTTATAGGAATGGCCCAAGCCATCAAAGTTTTTAAAAAATTACGTTACTCTGATAAAAAAAATTAATTATGATTTAAGGCATTCTATTCTTAATAATTTTGTCAATAAAAATAATAAAATTTGAAAAATATTCATATATGTAGTAAATAAATGAACGAAGCTTGCTGGAAAGAAAGATATTTACAAGAACTTGAGTTCATAATGTTTTTTTAGATTCCCCCTTTCTGTGACTTTCAATATTATTTATACCGGATTCTGCAACCCCCACTCTCTGGAAAATCGAATACGGCAAACTTTTCTTTCGCCAAGAAGGTGTGCTGCCAATATTTATATCTGGATATTTCACCCTAGGATTCAAAATTGGGGGTGACAAAGGGAACTTGAAAAATCTGCATTTGCCAAAAGGCTGATAATTGGACTATTTTGCGTATTTTGTCAGCAAAATTATATCTGCTGCATTATATACTTTTATTACGCATACAGCTCATACTGACTTAAATCTTGAAGTTTGCCGGCGTAATAGCGTATTCTATTAGAATTTTAGTGAGATATAAACAGTATGAACTGTTGATTTTAGAACAATTAAGAAATTGACAAGCAGGAAATTTCTAACTTGTGAAATGCCTTTGAACAGAAATCACGTAAATATATTTTCAGGCTGAAATTAGAAAAACATATTTTTTAGTTTGCGAAAAACGACAGGTAATAGTGTACAAAATTTTGTGGTTTCTTTAAGACTAGAAAAAAATAATTGTAGTAGAAAGCACAGAAATTAGGATAGCTTATACATGTGTGGAAAAAGGTGATCCAACATATTCAATAGTATAACATAGTATAACATTTTTGTAGTGTATTACATGCCAGGCCGCTTAACACATTTTTAACGAGATTAGATAAGATAATATAGCTTTTCAGATTAATAAGGCTTTTTGATATAATTTTGTATTTATTTGATTTAGATTTTGTTGATTAACATCTGTAAGAATAGGTTTCTCAATGTGGACTGATCCGCCTCTCAAGACAAGAATTCTCGTAGATATGGCCCCTGATTTGAGA